TTATACGAGATTTTAATCGATCAAAGTTATATTAACAATACCAAACATATTTTCCAAAATCCAAACGACAATCCAGAAATATTGCTACTCGCATTATAGTTTCCATATTGGAGTATATATATATTTATTTATTTATGTATATGTATATACGAAACGATAAGAAAAGTGAAACGAATAAATTCGTCGTTTCTCATCTTATTCGATGCTGTCTCGTACTCAACGAGGAAGCCCAAAATCGAGGTCTTTTTCCAGAGGGGAAATACGAGCTTTCGAAAGCCCGTATTTTCCGAGAGGAAAGATCCTCTGCTATTCGCGCGTTATTACGGCTCTAGAAGGCACGATTCACTCGCTCGAACATATGCGGCCAAGCTCCGCGTCTTTCCCTTATCCCTCCTTTACACATACATAACGTTGGTTCATGTATTTATGCATTTCCTACAACCACCATCACCACCACCAACCACCCGACTCTACTATTTCTTTTCTTGAATCTAAACTACTCTAATACTTCGACACGCATTTAACCAGTTAACTGAGTTTGACGAATATACTCGTCATGATTATTTGCTATTTAAATTTTAACATTTTTGAAAAACGAAACACATTCTCAAATTTTAAGATTAGTAAGAAGAAATTGAAGATTTTTAAATGACTATTTTTGTTTTTTATTCTTAAAGTTTATTTTATTTTCATAAATGAGCAATTTTAACCTCAAAACTCATCATCGGTCGATTCTTGCGACACGCAGCGGTTCAAAACGGAGCTCCACAGTTAATTGGTTAAACGTGTATCGCACTTGAAGTATTTGCAACGTCAATGATCGGCTCACTGTGTGTCTTTCTTCACGGTTTGAGAAAAAGGGGGACGTTAATAGACTGGAATGAAGGACGCGGAGGAGAGAGAGTTCATTGGAAAAACTATTCTTGTTAACGCTGTAAATAATAATCTAGTAGTTAACCGGTAGCTGCTTATCTTCTTTTTCATCTTGCAAACAACTCGATGCAACCAAGATATAATAGTAGAGCTATGTCCTGTCAAGAAAGAACAAAGTTTATAATTAGAAGCTTCAATAAATATATATTTTTAAATATATATAGTATAGATTTTGTTTTTCTTCTTTTTTTTTTCTATGATAAAATATCGATTGGTTGGAGCTGAGCGTTAAATAAAATGGAAAAGAAATGATTTTAATCAGCTTTTATATATTTTTTTCTCCTTCTCTCCGTCTTCTTACAACCCCCCACCTACCTTAGCTGCTTTCATTATTCAAGAGTCATATTTACTCATTGGATTCAATTCGGATTCACTTATGGTATGATTTACTGAAGGAAGAGGCGTACCTGGAACACCACCACCCGGTGATGGGAATTTATCGGGGGATGGAGGCCACCCTCTAAAAGCGAACGGAGTATAAGGAGAGAGATAGACTTTCCGAGAAGGAGGGACTGCAATGGAAACGGCGGACAACGAAGGGAGAAGAAGATAAAGGGCGCGTCCTTTCCTCATATTCTATATTCCGTATGCTGGCTCATGAAAGTCCTAGGGATACCTTCCGAAATTCAAATTTACAGCACGTGCTATACTCGAGTGACTCTAGTTGCATGACGATGCATATTAAGTTTTACCAATAAGTTTGATGTACGGAGAAGCAAACGATTAAAATCTTATTTCTAGTGTATCCATGTAATTTTTATTATCGTCGATTAACCCATCGTTTAAAAGATTCTCAAGAGAATAGAAACGTGCTTATAATGTTGGTAATTGAAACATAGTAATGTTTGTCGAAGGTTATTGAATTTCAATTCACCCTAGGTTATAAATATCAAATGACATATTGCTATACTTTTAAACGTATGTTATCGTTAAATCACTATGACAATAATTGTATTCGAAATACTATATATATAGTTACGACTATCGAAGCAAAAAAAACAAAAATAGGAATGAAAGCAAAAAAGCTACTCTGATATCAATAGAAATCTTATCGATATCCATTGGCCGATTTTGCTGATTCTATATTCGGACCCTTTCCGCTTGAAAATTTACTGGAAAACTTTTCTCCAGTTTTAAAGCATAGCCTCGTACTTTTTTTTTTTACGATTGAGCTATTATTTCACTATTTCCTTGTCATAAACTTCGATTGTTTCTACGAGTCTACGAAGAGATACGTCTACTACTTGCGTATCTTAATGAAAATTCAATCAAAAAAAGTTTGTTGTTTTCTTTGAAGTTTTTATACGCGTTGAAAGATAACTGTTACACATACGAAAAAAAAAGATTGGTTAGAAAACAGGGAAAACCATTATGCTGATGTCTCAACATGTTACTCACCGAGGTACGGTGTCTTGGCCTTTGAATTTGTGACACTCCCCTTTTTTGCTACTCCACGCATTTTCGACAATGAAATGGCCATAACCATATACTGCGGGCTTTTTTTTGAGATATATTACAATGTTCTAAAGGAGAACGAGGTATCTTATTTTTGTATATCACTTGCGTATGTAACGGTATACCATGAAACATTGTCACATTCAACGGGTCAACTTTTTCTAGGCGTCTTAGCTCTGGCATGACGGTATTTATGTTGATGTTTTTTGATCAGAAAGCTTACATTTCGTTTATCGTGGGTGATTTAGAAATTGAACTATAATAAAAAATCAAGATAAATAACAAAAGTTTACTAAAATATTAGTAATTTTTAATTAGGAGTAAAGAAGGTGAAATGGTAATTTAAAAAGTATTCTAAAATTAAATAAAAAAAATAAATTTGCATAAATAAGAAATAATATATATATAAGGAAAGTATATATTATATAATATACTTATTTGATGCTATAATAAAGTAAAAAAAAATAATTAAATAAAAATTGTTTAATCATTTTTATATTAAAAAATATGATAATAAATTTGATACCATAGTGTAAGAATGAATTATGACATCATGACAATTTACCGAGATACTAACTCGTGACGCAAGTTACATGACAAACTCTATACAATATCTTAACTATGTTCAAACTAAACTTTCAAGAAGTATAAAAATATCTTCACAGAACTTATGGTCACTGAAAATAGATCGAGAAATAAAGAAAGCTTGGTGTTTTCATTTATTTGTTCATGGAATAAATAGTCGTTGCTTGATCACAAGAGTAAGGAGGGTTGGTGGGAAGGTGGGTGGAAGAGAGGGTAGAGAAGAGTTCGATGCTAGCAGGGATTGCTAGCAGGGTAAAAGGTGGAGACATACCCTCTTCCCTTGATTCCCTACGAACCCGAACATGAATTAAAGTTTTAATTTCTCTAAATCACTGTTCGCCCTTGAGCGCTTTCTACCAGACGGTCCGTTACTTATAGCTTTTGCCCTTTTACCGCTTACTCTCACCCCTTCCCACCCTCCCAGCTCTCTTTTTTCTCGTTTTGCTTCGATCTTACCACCGTCCGACCCTCTTAAATCGAAGGAAATCGATATGCACTTATCCGATGACTCTCGAGACTCGAATAACGAGTCGTCTTTTTTTTCCTCTTTCTTTTATCCTTTTTTTTTCAAGTAACCACGTAACTACCAATTTCATACCACTTATATCATCAATCGTTCGATACTTTTGGAATAAAAATAATATACTTATTAATAATACAAATGAAATATCCTCGTAATGAGAAATATGTTGGTAAATTTGAACAAAGGTTGGTTTATGCGAAAGTTCAGATCTTTATTCTCCCTTTTCGTTTCCATCTTCATCCATAGCACCCAAAAAACGGAGTGTAGGGTTGGTAGGTAGGTTGGTAGGTAGGTAGGTAGTCGTTCGTTTAAAATCATGACGTCGAATACGAAGGGTAGAGAAACGAGCTAGGCGTTAGCATTAACGTTAGGTTTGCGCCACCAGTAGCAACAGCAGCAGTAGCAACCGAGGCCACATCTACAAGAACTTCCTACACCCGTTTTCCCTTTCCCTTTACACCAAAGGTTTCTCTTTCTCGACCTCTGCAACGACGGCGACATATTGTTTCCATTCTCCTCTCTTCGGCTAAAGCGCAATAAAAAACTGGCATAAATATCGCCACCCTTGACGGGGTTGGGAAAGGGGGAGGAAGTGGAAGTGGAGGTGGGACGCTTACCAACACCACCTTCCCTTCAGTTTCGCCTTCGCAACAACCTCTACAGTTCTCACTTCTCGTACTCGGTGTTCTAACTGTAAGAACTAAGAGATACCGACACGAATGTGCGGTATCTGCTCTGGCGCGTATAAATACTACGAAATACCCTCTCCAAATTCTAGCGACTAATTTGTCTGAGTGGCTTTTTGGACTGTTACACGAAATAACTCCTAAAGTCCACCCAGTTACTTCTTTCTTTATCTTTTTTTCTCTCTCTCTTTCGCTTATTTACATTTGTTTTACATTATACAACTGTGGTCTTGTAATTAAGAATTGTTTAACAGTATTGAAACTATTAAAGATAATCAAATTTATTTTGGTTGACATACATACAAGTGATCAGCTGATTGAGACGAAAAAGACCTAGCTATTTGGGTTGGATTTTATTTGCAAAGACTAGTAAAGGATTTTACCTCATAACGGACTTCCTAAATTTTTAATATTCTTTCTTTTTTTTATCAAATTATTTGACATAACCTATATTACGTATAAAATGTTACTTTTTGTTCTCAATCCATCATATAAAATAGCATCATAATGTTATTATCCAATTATTAATAGTTTCTGTTTTAATTCGTTGTTAATTTATGTGTAATTATTTTAAATAAAGTACTTTAAATAAATATTGCAACATCATACCTTTCTTAAGTATATAGCATTATCATAGCAATGCAACATTATAGCATTTCTTCAGTACTATTAGTAGTTTGTGTTTTAATTCTTTGTGAATTCTGTGTGTTATTATTTTAAATAAAGTACTTTAAATAAATATTGTGATTAAACTCGTATCTTTATAACAATTATATTATATTATATTTAATTAATTATAATAATCTTAAGATACTTACAGCGTAACAGGTTCTTCAGGACTCGATGGGGAAATAGATAACGACGTTGTTGCTGTCACGCATCTTAACGTATTAGGCGATCTTACACGATCATCCACCTGAAATAAAAGAAAAGAAAACAGAATAATTGACATGGTAAATATTTCTTTACGTTTCAGGACGTTTACACCTGCTAAGGAAAAAGTTTTCTATTCGGTCACGCGATAATTTCTATTTCAGGAATAGAATAAAAGAAAAATAAGAAGAATAAGAATAAGAAGAAAAAAAAGAGAGAAAGCTCAGTCTGTGTTTTATCGTCGTCTGAATTCTTTTCGCGATCCTAGCAGTTTTCGATGGGGTTCCGAGCAACAGGTACAGCAAACATGTCCTCCAGGCATCATGCTCGAAAGAGCACACACGTGATTTATGATATAAGTGAGTTATCAAAACACCTCTTTTCCTTCCCTTCTGTAGTACGTTAAACGTTCGTGTGATAAAAAAAATAGAAAAGAAAATTTATCATTAATAGATAAGATAAATTTCTTTCAATGTTTATTGAAAATCTTACATTCAAAAAAAATTATTAAATTGTTTTTTTGGTCGGGGTTGAAGATAAAAAGGGACGTAAGTAAAATTACAGTTTACTTGTAATAATTGTATAAACATTTTAGGGTTGTATTATTATATGTTATATTATATTATTTTAGGGTTGATATTATTGATATTATCAATGAATCCCCATACATATTAAATTATTTTTTTCTGGGGGTGAAGTGGGGTGAAAAAGGTACTTAAATAAAATTACATTTTATTTGTAATAATTGTATAAATATTTTAAAATTGATATTATTGATATTGATATTGTTGATAAGTCCTTATATAAGAAAATGGAAAAAACTATTTTTTCTGGTCATTTAAAAGATTCACGATTTTAAAAGAGATTAATAATGACAGTGAAATCCTCTAGGACGATCGTGGTATAGAGGGAAACACAAAAGTAGCCTCGGGCAAGTGGACTAAACTCACACCGACATCAATCTGAACGAACGAGTATCTCTCGCCCCCTAACGAGCCACCGAGTCATATAAATTTTATTGCTATTTCATAAATCCTCCCTACTACTAACGTGAATATAACCATCCAAGAACTCTCCGAGAGATTATCAGAAATGTATAAAGTTACGCGAAATGTTATCCCTCTCCTCCACCTCCTCCTCTTCCCCCATTACGATTTGATTCTATTGTTCAAAAAGCTTAAGTTAAAAAAATGATTTTTGTTAAGACGTTTACTATTATTATTATAATTATTATAATACTATACTAAACAAAAATTCTACAACTGGTTTTTTTTGGGTGGAGGGAGAGGGGGCCTGATTTTCTTCTTCTCAGTTTTAGACTTTTCCACGATTTCGAAAGGAAATTCTTAAAATCATCCTACCCTTCTCATTTCCTTCCTACCAAAAGCTCGTAGACCAAGAGGGTTCTGATTTACATTTCTTTTTCTCGACGACATAAAAATTCCGCAACGATAACTTCCTTTGTTCAACCCCTCTGCGGTTTTGGGTACGACCCAAACCCCTGTGGCTTCGAGAGAGAGCTGCGGGGCGTCGTCGTCGTCGTCGTCGTCGTCGTCGTCCTCGTCGTCGTAAGGCTCGTCTAGTTTTTCGTTTTTATTACATTTTTCCTTAATTAAAGGTACCTCTTTCTCATCGGAGGGTAGAAGGGGGGTATAAGAAGACTAAGTTTCGATCGAGTATATAAATTTCGATACGTTTCACTTGAATTTGTAAAAAAACATTTTGTTTTTTTATCTCAAAAGTTACATTGCTACATTGTAAGTAATTTTTTGATAGAATTCATGTATTTTTTCTTTTATTCTTTTTTATAAACAAAAAAAACAATTTGACAAAAGCCTTTGATTTATCGAGTATCATTTACCTAGAATTTTACAGATTTCCTTTAATAATGCAAATCCATGGGTCCTGATCACATCGTTCGTTAGGTTGAGTAGAATCGGTAGAATACTATTGCTACGACCGATGAGAGAATTTACAGAGAGAGAAAGAAAGAGAGAGAGATGTAAAGAGTAAAAGAGATAGAAAGAGAGAAGTAGGATCGAAATGTAATTAAGAGAGCAAATAATCCGAGCTGAACAAACTCCGTGAAATGGATCAAAGAACTCGCGAATGAAAAAGGAAGGGAGGGGGCAGGGAGAGGGGAGGGGGAGCAAAATAGATGGAAGAAGGACTAACGTATATGTATAATGTACTACATTTATATATATATACACACATCGATAGAAAGGCGTGTCAGGGAAGGTACCAGGATGAACTACGAGAAATTCGCCCTCGTCCTGTCGTCGACCTGTCTAGGTTGAAGGAGTAGGGCAACGAGAGGTCTCGGCACAGACCCTCGATAAATATTTCCGTCAAGTGACCGGGGAGTGGAATTCAAAGAGAGTCGAAAGGTGGAATCGAGAGGAACGGACGGCATACGTCCTTCTCTTTCTACGAAGGAAGGTTCGGGACTGTTAGAAGAGAACAGGGGTAGGGTGTATGAGAGAGAGAGAGGGGTGGAAAAAGAGGAAAGAGGCTAGAGGCCAGTATATTTGCGTTACGTTACGTAGTTGCGCGTTTAATCAGCCGTGTACTCAGAAAAGGGCGCGTTTGAGGGAGAAAAAGGAAGAAAAGGGAAAGGGACGAGAACGAATGGAGGTGGAAAGAAGTGAAAGAGTACCTACCCGTTGACTTGTGGATATCGAAGAAGGAGCTAGAGGATGAGTCCAAATAGTCTTCTCGTTGCCTTTTGTGAGTACCAAAGAGGAGACTAGGTTTTTATTGTCAAATTGTACTCTGTCGTCGTTGGGTTACTTTAGGATCTCCAATGAGTCATCTCGTATAAAGTCAAGGGTAATTAATTTTTTTTAAATGGTCTACTAGGGTGTCGTCTTTCGATGAATCGATTATGTTCTTATGGTTTGTTATCTAGGAATAAATAAGTGTAGTTTCTCATTTGTATGAAATTGAAAAAAATAGGTGAAGTTTGAGAGTAAAAAATAGAAAGAGAAGGTTTAAGTATGTATATGTGTAAGTATATGTGTGTGTGTGTGTGTATGTGTGTGTGAGCCTACGAAACGTCGATGGCGTGACAGATTGCCTATAGTATTTTCCACCACATACATCATTGGCACCCGCCAGCCCCTTAGTTCTACTTCACTGCTCATCGTTGCCATCTCTCTTAATTAGCATCGCCTACCAATCTACCTGCTGCCTTACCGTTCAGAAAATTTTATCGAAGCGTATTTTTTTCCTTTTTTTTTTCGTATGATATATATAATATATATATATTTTTTTTTGCATTATATGTATTATATATATATATATATATATATATATATGATTTGCATATATATGCAAAATCAATTCGCCGATCCTTGGTACAAAAAAATAAAAAATTTCAATTATTTTTGAAAATAATAATCTTATTTTACAATAAATTTATTTCTCGCAATTCTAAGATAAGAAATTTTCTTTCCTTGATATTCCTACGTAGATAAATATATCGATAAAATATAAAACAGAAAAAAAGGAACAAAAAGAAAGGGTCAGTGACAAAGTGTAAACCGCACTTTCATCGTCAGGGATACGATTAGGGAAAAAATCGTGTTGTTTTAAGGGGAAGTGAAAATTAAATACCGCGGTGTGTCCAACCCCATAGGTCCGGTCACCTAATAATTCATACGAGGAATGTAAAAAGGGCTGGCCCTTTTTTCCCAAGCAAGCTAGACGAGAGAGAAAGTGAGAAGGCTAAAAAAAAGGGGGTAGAAAAATACGGGCTCGTATTTATCTTGAGATTTGTAACCGCCTTGGTCTCGATATTTATTGGCCCTTTTATCAGATAGGGATATCTCTATACCTTGACAGATCATTCAACTTTATTATGTCTCTTTCTATCTATCTATCTTTCTGTATTTATAGTGAAATGATCAATTGCATTTGATAACGAGTTAGTCATCACAGTTAACTGGTTAAACAAAATGAACGAATGTTGAATGAATTATTAACGTTAAAGAAAAATTCTTTTTGAAAATATTTCTAGAAGGGTAAAATAAACTTGGCAGCAAATGAAACGGTGTTAACGTTCTTAGAAAGGGTAGGCTGGCAAGGAACGTGTCTCATCGTGGTAAATACATAAAGAAGGATCTGGAGTGCGCATAGTCCTCTGTAAGGGTGCACCTACGGCCTAACTACCTACCAACCGAGGTCATATTTGGGATTACGGAGACGGCGGTTGCAGCCTCTCAAGGATGATAGTTGCGAGCGTAGAAGAGCTGCCTTGCTTAACCCAGCCCCATTATCTTAACAAATCTAATCTCGCGGTGGGTGTTTATAAATGTCTTGTTTTCCGCAGAAGGCAGGATGGCAGACGGAGGAAAAGACGAAGAAAGGACGAAGTGGGAGTACTGAGCTTGCCTGGATTTTCTCAACCCCTCGTTACCAGAAGTTGGAAATACAGTTGCACTTCTTGAATCTGGAATATTCTAATGTGTATATGTGGAATAAATAAAAAAAAAGAAACATAATTGGGAAATTTGTTTTTTTCTTTTTTTATATTATTTATTTGGAAGTTTTACGAAATTAGAAATATTTGAAAGACTATAGTTCAAGTTAAAGTATGATAATTTAGTTAAAGTATTTATATAACTATATAGTATATAAAATACGGTATAAAATACTATACAATATAAATACTATATAAAAACTATATATTATATAATTATATAAATATTATATATAATTATATAATAATATTTATTATATTATTATAATTATATTGTATTATTAGTATATAATTATTATATGTAATTATATAATAATATTTCAAATGTTCTATAGGATTTTTTATTTAACCTATTTAATATAAAATAAATACAAAATAAAAAATAAAAAAATTAACACACATAGAAATAATTATTCTTTATAAAAGTATCAAATTATTTTGACATCTTTTACTTTCATGTTAAGAAATAATAAAAATTGTTCCTATTTTAAGATGGGTGGTGTTCAGGAGTAACTCTTTCGCTTTAAATTTTCATTCGAAATCTTCGAGAACGAGCACGA